TGGCCAGTCATGATCGTTTGTATGGCAAGGATGTACAGTCTTATGCTATCATGTGCTAGAGACGCAAGAGCTGAAGCACGGAAGCAGCGGCATTTGGAGAGGAGACGTTGATCACGGGTACAGAAATGGTGGTTCTTGGTTGGGGGGTGTTGTCTGCAGCTGGCACTATGCATGGGTCCTATCTTTTGTGCAACATCAGGGCTGCACGTTGTGCAGGCCACAAGGATGAGAAAAAGTGTTGGCACCAGAGCTGAGGCATTGGTCAATGAGCACAAACACACTTGCCCTCCAATGTTGAGTGGCCTTCGCGCCCTTGGCAGATGGCATGCGAATCTCTTTGGTCTTTTGGCGTTGTGTGCAGCATGGGCAGAAGTCGAGCTCCTTTTATCTCGTTAAATAATTAGGGGATCCCAAGATTAAGGCCCTGACTAGGGGGACCTCCCAACGAAGGGATATGTAATTGCAGTGATTTCTGAGCTGGCAGTATCCCTTTCTGAGCAACGTCAAACCTTAAACCCTTAACCTTTGTGTTCACAAGTCACGAGATCCGAGCCTAAAACTGCCATCAGCTGGATTCTTGGGCTAGTAGGAAATAAGGGGAAAGTAGGGGTTTCATATGATCTATAGTCTAAACTCCTTAAAGGGGGGTTATATAGGGGATTATATGAGGGACTATTATAGAGGTTATTAAGGGGGATACTAGGAGTTTAGACTATAGCTCATATAGGGTTATGTAGCAGTGATACAGGGAACAAGGGAACTTGGGGCGCTAGTGTGACGCCATGAAAGCAGCCGAGGCTTTGCGACAAGCTACAAGAGCATGATGAAAAGTCTGCGCAGGCGCAGAAACCCTAAACCCTACACCCTAAACAGTAGTTTCCATGTTCTTTTTCATTATGATCATCCCTACATAATCCCATATCTCCCATTGTAGTAGCGAACTGCAGGTGCAGCGCCCTCTAGCGGGACGGTATCTGATGATAGTTTTGGGCTAGTAGGCAATATCGGAATATAGGGGTATGATATGGTCATATATGGACTATATAGGAGTAACATGGGTGCAGATGGGACGTGGTCAGCCAATTTACTACAGCAGCAGCCGCCGCAGCTGCAGATGCATCTACAGACGGTTTCCTCAAAGCCTGCGGCGTGTTCCACAAGTGCTTTTGCTTGCTGGTTGTGGTGTTTTGATGATGCGTTGCTTCAAGCATCCACCTGATGCTTGAGCATGTTACAAGCATGTGAAGACCCTAAACCCTAAACTCTAGCCCTCAGCCCTAAGCTTCATTGAAGTCTTGATTTCGAAGGTCAATTGGGAGCGAGCCCAAGATTTGGAAAGACAGCTTCAGGAGCCAACTTATTGCGGTTTAGGGTTTGGGGTGTTTGTTTGTGTTGCTCGCCTAGGTGTAGCTCGTTTAATTTAAAACTAGTTTGCTAGGAAAGCGAGAAGTGACATATTAGGTTATATGGGCATGTTGGGGTTAGATAGGGGTTTGTAGCGCTTAATGAAGAATCACATGAAAAAGGTAATGGGAAACTACATGAGGTATAGTCTAAACTCCTAAAGGGGGGGGTATTTAGGGGACTATATAGGCGAGTATTATAGGGCTTGTTAAGGAGGATGCTAGGAGTTTAGACTTGTACTTCACCTGGAACCTGGGATTTTAAGCGGTGGGGGCGGCTTGCAGGGGATATGATAATTTAAGGTTTAGGATTACGTTTTTTTGAATATTATGATGGTAGGTTGTCAATAACATGGTCTAAACTTCCTCTAATAGTTAGGCTACCCCCAAAAGGGACCATGATCTCGACAACCCCTCTGCCATAAAGAATACCTACCCTCATTGGGGTACTGAGCAAACCAGAAAAAATTGTGACCACCAAGCGCTTGAACATGTGCTGCTTCCAGGAGCACATTGATCCAACCCCAAAAGACTCCTCATGTAATCTCCCTATACCGCTAGAACAGTATTATAGTAGTTTTCATTTTTTCCATTATCCCCTATATTACCCGCATATTACCCCTATATAACCCTATATGACCCCCCTAAACCCTAAACCCTAAACCGCGTGGAGCCACCCTCAACCCTTAGCTCTCGCCAGGCGGAAATGGGTCTAACAAAAGAAGCCCTAAATTCACTCACCCACTTCTCCCGGAACCACTAGTAAGTCCCTAAACCCTAAACCCTGAACCCTAAACCCTAGTTCCAGGAGCACATTGATCCAACTAGGTAAAGGTGGACAAGCCGCAAACAAGAAGCTCTGCGCTCAGTGATGATCCGGATTCAGGGTTCAGGGTTTAGGATTTAGGGTTGGGGGGGTCCCTGAAATAAGGATCATGGATGACTATTGTCTTTTGGGGAGTATATTGGCATCGCCAAATTGGTGGAAGCTACCATATAACCCTAGTTTCCATCTTGTTTCCATATGATTCGCCATATTGGGATACTACCTCTGAAAACTATTGAATCGATCTATGGGTAGTTCCCAAAGTTAGGGTCCCTTTTTGGCACCCCTAGATATTAGGCGCCGTAATATAATCTGTATCAAGAGGGGCCCATAATTTTGAGAACAGCGCATATGTGGCGGAGGCATCCTGTTTCCCTAAACCCTAAATTCCAAACCCTGAGGTGGGTTCGAAAGTTTCAGGACACCATGCGAGAGATGGGAGAGGCTGAGCAGGATGAGGCGAACATGTTATGGGAAAATACCATTTGGGGATTAATAGGGAATATGGGAATGAATATATTCATATATATATATATGTATATAGAGAGGGTTTAGGGTGGGTCAACCTGTTCTTCAAAAGGCATCGAAGAAGTTTTTGTTTGAGGTCTGGAAGCCAGGCCCAAAACCCTAAAACCTGTTTCATTTCCTTGCAAAGGCACGCATTTAAGAACACAGTCCGTGAACAAGACGTTATAATCTATTCAAGCCACCATTGTGGTAAAATGCGAGGTCTTGAAAACATGCGTAATACGTGTTCTGGATGTTTCGAGCGCCAGGTGGCAGATTGGGTCCAGGATTTCAAGAAGCTTCAAAGACCATCTGCACAGGACAGACCAGGGTATACGGTTGAAGCTGAATCTAGGGGTTTCCAGAAAGAGGGGGCCTCAGAATAGACCCCAATATGTTGTAGTCCTTATCATCAGGACTCCCAAAGAAGGAACCCCCCAATTTTTTGGACACCCTAATCCCTAAATCTTATATACCCTATATCACCCCACCCTAAACCCTAAATCCTAAACCCTATATCACCCCTATCCTTAATTGGAAAAGCCCATCGGGAGGGCTATGGGCCAGCCGTGGTGGCAGTTTGGTACAATAAATCAAATTTCGAATAATGACAGTATTCAGAATCACATGAACAATGCAAATAACAGCAGCACTGCAAGCAAACTGATCTGCCAGAAACATGTGGTCGGTGCTGTTGCTTTTGCACCCCTCCTTAATAGGGATTATCATAGGGATCCTTATATTAAGGCCCTTGAACGGAGGGGGGAGTTATTCATCAGGGGTCTAACACTAAACCCTACAGCCTAAATAGTCGTTTCCATTTTCTTTTCCATTATCCCTTTTTGATCCCGGTGCATTATGGAACCCTAAGCTACGGAGGCGGGGTCTGGGAGGGTGTAGTGTAGGATCCCCCTAAACCCTAAACCCTAAAACCCTAAACCCTAAACCTTAAACCTTAATCAACAAACCCTAATGATTCCAGGAGCCAAGGTTCAAAAAGCTGGCCAAGGCGACCAGGGCCTTTCCAGGGCTTGGAGTTCATAATGTCGACCCTATAGGGCCTAGGGTTTAGGGTTTAGGGTTTAGGGTTGAGGGGTCATGTAGTAATATAGGGTTTAGGGTTCAGGGTTTAGGGGGAATATAGGGATGATACAGGGATAATGGAAAAGACAATGGAAGCACTATTTAGGGTTTAGGGTTTAGGGTTAGACCCCTGATTAACCTTTTAAGGACCTTTATCTTCGGATCCCTGCTACAATACTCATTAAGGGGAGGGGCTTGATTAATTAGGGGTCTACATTAGATTCTATGTATGGGGGATGTCCAAAATTGGTGTGGACGTGTTGCAGCAGAACTTTGGATGGAGTTATAAGCCCTTGGTTGACTTTTCCTGGTGACAAGCGCACGGCCAGCAACCCATAGGATGCGCATCAAAAGGATTTGTTCGGAGACTACCGTTTATGCTTGAGCGCAGGGCTGCGGACATTAGCAAGCTCCTTTGGGCTGTTAGGTGCCCTGGGGAACTAGTCAGAAATGACATAAGAGGCCTGCAGTCGGCACGAGCTGTGGTCGCAGGACGCAAGTTCCTCGAACAAATCCTCAAAGGTCGGCACATGTGGCACTGCAATGAGCCTTCCTAAACCTTTCCGAATGCAACATGAAGCTTGCCACGCCCGGGTCTCCAGCAGCTTTCAGTTCAGCACCCCTGTGTGTTGATTCTTTTCCACGGCATTGTAGATGTGCATTTCAGCTTTGTCCGTCGATTCCCAAGACGTTGTCTTTCTCTCCATGTTCGCAGCCACACACAGCAACTTACCGTTCGTGAAGGGCAGATTGCCTGAGCAAACGGGTCACAGGGCGGCGAGGTCGCGTCCTTGGAGCCTTTCAAAAAACCTGCAGCAGAGTCTTATGGTTTTCTCCCAGACCTTGTTGCCTGTGCCTGGCCATGCATGCAGGAATTGCTCGAAACTGCATTTTTGTGTCTTCGCTGCATAATTAGGCTTAAGCATGATTCAACAGGGGAAAAAAAGCCTTCGGGAAGTGCTGGTTCACTCAGGAGATATCAGGAGTAGTGCAGTCGAGAGTTGACAAATGGAATTGTTGAAGCGCAGGCTGCAAGGGAGCTGTCGACATCGAGCAGGAAAACGTCAAAGGGTGTTCTGGACGTCATCGAGAGATGCCGCAAGGTGCTGTTGTCCTTGCACGTTTGAATCATTAGGGGCATTTAGACTTATTGAACTGATTGCAGTGTTGTCTTCATATTGAATTTACCTGTTTGCACAAGGGGCTTGTCAACTTGTGGCCCCAAGTTATTTGCAGGCTTAGGTAGGCCGTAGCGGAATTCGCAGCTGGCCTATACATGCTGTTTAGTTTTGCAAAAGGGTTTAGGGTTCAGGTTCAGGTTTAGCCAACAGTGTACGGCGTTGAGAAGTAACGTTTAAGCAGCAGGAGCAGCAGGACCGTATTCTACAGAAGTTGTGCAGACATCCCTTTTGTGTAAGGATACCTTCCAATGGAATAGATTACTTTCCGAGTCCCCAAACCTGGATCTAAACGCCCCAGGCCTCCGGCCTCGGCAGATTTTCCCTTGTGTCCTCCTTGTGCCCTAAACCCTAAACCCTTAACCCTAAACCCTAAATCCTAAACCCTAAACCCAAAATCCTACCTTCCCAAAACCTGCAAGGCGGAGGTCAAGCGCCTAAAGTGGCAGGCAGGGAGCTCAGGGTTTAGGGTTGAGGCTCAGTGAGGGGGTGCGTTGGTGCTAGAAGCACCCAGGCGCGCACCCCGACTTGCAGAAGCCCACCCCCGCTCGCGCTCCACCCTCGCCTCAACCTTTCGCGGGTTTAGGGTTCTCTTGAACTCTGATCGCGCTCCTGTCTTCTAATTTGTTTTTCTTCATTCTGTCTAGACCAGGCGGGTGCAAGGTTTGGTTAATTAAGTCTGGCTCGAGGCTTTTAGCTTGGAGGCTATCAAGGCGTGAACCAGTTGCACCTGCCAGACCAGACGAGCAGAAGGTTTGGCTTTGGGTTTGGCTCGAGGCCCCAGTTTCCTGCAGATGAAGTTTTGGCTGGACACTCGCCTTGAACTAGTTGCACCTGTCCCGACCAGACGAGCACAAGGTTTGGATTTGGGGTTGGCTCGAGGCCCGCAGTTTCCTCCAGAAGAAGTCTCTCGCGCTCCTGTCTTCTTTTGTTTGTTTCTTCGACCCGTATAGACCAGG